CAGCCCTGCAACCGTGTGGGTAGAAACCTTCACTCCCGCTCCCCCAGCACCATGCTACCTTTCCGCAAATGTTCGTTCAATGTCCGCTCAGAAACCGTCTCCTCAACTCCTCGCGCAACTTCTACTTGCTTTGCTTGATAATTTATGACTTTCCAGTTCCAAAGATTCATAAATCTCCAAAACCTGTCCTCATTTTTTTGCCAGACTCTGTAACTCAGCATTTTAGAATACTACAACTATGGGAAACTTACCATGGTTCTGCGGTGATCCCGGATCCTCTGGTATCCGATAGGAGTCACAGTTCTGTAACATTGTTTCATCAATTTGAATGAAAAAGGTTCTCGATTATGGAGTTTTAACCACTACTGGCACTTATATCTTGGAATTACTATTACAATTTTGATTATTTTTTACTTCCAAGTGTTAGGGACCTCTTTGTGAAATTATAAACAATAAATCCATAAAAAAAGCATGTTTAATGAAAAAAAGATCAGGAACTGCATGCTCAGACAAAGCACAATTCTCTACAGCCCCAAAAAGCCCAGTAAAAGTCTGCGATACTGATTTTCTCAGCGATTTGCTGAGATCATCTTCTACAACATTTTGCACCCATAGATTAGAAGTAACTGTAACAGTAAATAGTTTTTTCTCTCAAATTACCATGTCTAAGATACAATCTCGCTCATCTGTATCTGGTCCAGGACAATTGCAGCCATTTTGCGAGATGGTTTTCCTCCCTGGTGGACCATCACGCTCACAGAACCGCCGCCGCACTTCTCTTCCTCCCTAAATACTTGACAGTCCTCCTATGAGGTTCAATAAAGCTTTAATTGAAGATTCCCGAACGCACCCGACAAGGTGCACATCCACACCATTCTCCCCATTCCGTCCATTCACATGGTCGATCACAAGCGACATCACATTGCCGCGTTTCAATGGCTTCTCCTTCGCAACATTGCGCTCCTGAAAATATTACCTGTAAAATAGCACAAGAACTTATTGTGATACTTTGGACGCATTTCTGGGGACAATGGGGCATTCTGGGGACATTTCTGAGATCTTGTCTGCGTTCTCTCAGTGATGTATCCAACTGATCAACTCCTTTTCGAGTCCACGTTTTCGGGAGACGGGCGTTAGGAACGATTTTGGGTAGTCGATTGCCGCACGCGGCTGTCGCGGACCACTCATTCGCCGTTATGACAGCTCAAGCGTTCTTCATACAGCTCAATCGATATGCGATCATTATTTTATGCATAATTCTACTATTAACACTTTTGTTCTTGTATTTCTTACCTACCGCTGCATCCTGCTACATTCCTTCGCCCCTCTCACCGCGACGCGATCATTTCGTTCCTAGCGCACCACACCCCACGTTTTCGCATGGAATCCGCATTCCCCCAACTCGTTGCTCCTCCCCTCTGAGGCTCAGGCCAAAATTCCATAACCTAATTCAGGATCATCTCTTACGATTAGCGCCACTACAGGCCTGCAAAACCGGCGCTTCAACCTTCTTTGCCATAGCTTCAGCGCTAGAGACGCAGAGCACAGTGAAATAGCCTACCCAGCTGGGGTGTGGAGCAGTAGGAACAAAATGGTCGCGCGGGGTGAAAGCCACGTCGTGCGCGAAGGAATGTAGCAGAATGCAGCAGCAAGCCAGAATGTAGAATCATGCCATAAGAAATAATCGTATAGCGAAGAACGCTAGAACTGCTATAACGAGGCAAATGGTCCGCGACAACCGCGTGCGGCGGATCGATTACGCAAAACCGTTCCTACTGGTCGTGTCCCCACCCAGCTGCATTTCTACCTACACACCACATTTCATATCACTCGAATGCGGTCATTCGCTTATGGTGCGAGTTCTAGGAAGCTTATCGTTCAGAATTTGATTGATAAAACTTGTACGCGAATGATCTAGTAGAAAAAAAGATGTCATAATACGGAAAGTCACTACAACGCATATTACTGAGTTTGGCATGAAAAGTCGACCATTCGAAGAAACATTCGAAGAGCCTTCATAAATGTTGGGCATTGGAAATAGTACCAAATCCCACTTAGTGTTAACATGATTCCCCCTTTTCAATACAACTCCCTCCCATGAAATATGTATCATCGACAGAATTGGGCCATCCCACCTATTTGACTAGTAGTAGCAACGTAGAATGAATAAACGCAGCTGCATCAACACAACAGAAATCTTCGAGCAATGAGAGGTGTTAACTCGTCCGGGCATCTCGAACTCGTCCGATCATCTCGATTCCTGCTCATCCTTACTTGAATTAGTCATTTCCTGGTATCGCCAGGTGTTTTCTCGACGGTTCTAGGGTGTTCTCTTCGTTCCTCCACAATCAATATTCCTAACCAACGCCCCCCCCCCCCCCCCCCCCCTCCTTTTAGAGCCACAACTCACAACTTGTCTAGGGGAAACACGGCAATTTCAAACTTCGAAGCGTCTTAAACTACTAAGCATGCCAGCCAGCCAGCCAGTAGACTACATTTGAACTTTCCAACCTGTTTTCAGCTTCAACGGTTTTATGAACCAGCAAAATTAATCATCCACGAAACTGGGCCCCATTTGCTGATGAACTTCCTCAGTGGTGGAAACAACTTCAAATGGACATATGTGTGGGCGGAGAAACCTTGTTTAATCTCGTAGTTGATAACTGTCTCAAGATTTACAACCTTCTGAGTCAGTTGACAACTACTGAGAAGGAGCTTACTCTTGGGGAAGAACTGCAGTTTGGACACAATCGTAGAGGCCTGGGCGTTCAAGTGGTGGACTAATAATTGCAAAAAACCCCGTTGAAGGTATCACGGTAGAATGGAAAGAAGCTGACCTCTCTGGGGAAGAAGAGTAGCATGGCGACGGATCCGTGCGTTCACAGGAATTATCGGACTCATGACTTGAGGAGCATTCAGAGGTCCTAAAATTTATATTTTTGCTAATGACAACTGTATCAACTACGCAGTACAGGATAGGTAGAACATTACTACTTGACAAGTAATCAGCATACCAGAGGCTCTAGAGTCTATCCGATAACTATCAACTAGTCGTGGAATCGGCGCACCACCTCCAACAGGTTGTGTACCTCGATAATTAACCTTAAATTCCAATTTAAATTAAAAATCCTTTAGTTCGTTGAGATGGAAGGATCTTTCGTGGAGGGATTTTCTCGTGACTTAAAGGCGAGCTGCTAATGAGCGTCCTATTGGTGCGTAAAGCAGCCACCAATAGCAGGCCTTCTAGACCCGCTCAAGTCAGCCCCACCCACATCCCACAATGATCTCTGCCTTCTCCCGGCTATATGAATCTTTATACCTGAGATGAGAGTGGCGAGAAAACACCATGCGATTCATCGATTTGACATATTCGACTCCGTCTTGAAACCGCCTGAGAGCCGCATCCGATACATGGTGACCACTCGTTCCACGACTCCCATGAGCAACATGGGCCTAGAAAAAGCAATTTAAGTAAGTCTTTACAAAAAAATCCGTTTACGCCGAAGAAGCCTGAAATCAAGAAGCATTCGAAAGTGTCGTTCACCTGCATCACATGGTTTCCTGTCGACATCTAAGCCAATACATGTGCCACCACCTTCGATGGTCGTTCTTGCAGGTACAAGTGGTGTACGTCTACTCCGTTCGAGTGCCTCCTGAAACTTCACAATTGATGAAATCTTTGACAACTAGGATATTACCACACTCCGAAAAACGCTGAACTACTTCCTTGTCAGTAGTTGAAGGTAAGGAGAATAAGTATGCTATGCGGCTCTACTCAGAGAACCATATAGAGTTGAAAGTAGAATAGAGTTACCTCAGAAGAGTGATTTCCAGAAGCGGGATTTTGTCCTTGAGACCGTGATCGAGCAATCAGAATGGATTTGGCTCTATCTAAAACATCATTTCATAAAAAAAAGTTAGGTGGAACGAACCCACCCCATATTTAACATCCTCAAGGTGAGTTTTTGCTACAAAAAATGATTTTGCTATAATAAGAACTGCTACTGAGTTTAATAAGGTAAAAACGAATCATATCCAGTAGAGATGCTGAGGGGCAGGCATCGAAGTCAAAGGCACAAGAGGTAGACAGGAAGGTAGACATAGTAGCGGCGAGGGTTGAGTCGGAAAGAAAAAGAAAAAGTGTGTTGGAGAGAAAAATGTGATCCAGAGACAGACAGACAGACAGACAGACAGACAGACAGACAGACAGACAGACAGACAGACAGACACACAGACAGACACACAGACACACACACACAGACAGAGAGAGACAAAGAGGGAGCGGGTGTGCGCGTGTGTGTTTGTGTGTAAGTGTGGGGGTGAAAGAGAAAGTGATTGGGTGACAGAAATAGAAAGTAAGAAGGGAGAGGAAAGAGAGGGAGAAAGTGAGAGAAAGCGAGAGAGAGGGAGAGAGAGAAAGAGAGAGCGAAAAGCCACCAGAGGAAAAACATTGGAGAGTATTAAAAAAAGTAAGAAGTGTCGCTAAAGAAAACAGGTAAGTTGTTGTTGTGTGGCATGTCGTAGCCACAAAAGATCAACTCGTTGGATCTTTTTGGGTCCGATATCTACTATGACAGTGTACTAAGTCTCACCGGCGTCCATTTCAAACAGTGCTTCATCGAGTTCTTCCAAGTTCGGTAGATTCAATAGGTCATCTGTTATACACCTGCAATAATGCAGTAACGCTGAAATTAACTTCACAGCCGTAACCTCAGCCTTGAAAATTTCATCATTTTTGTCCTTTCGCAGTCACGCTAGTGATGAAACAAGTAAGGGAATCGCCCTTTCCTTTTCAAGAACTGACCAAGACAACTAACCTTCTTCTTCGCTCGCAAACACCCATTCCACATGTAACCGAACAACCACCCCAATCCATCCATTCATCCCAATAGGGGCAGCTGGCTAGCTGACAAAAGCGAATTTCTCGGTTCGAACCCACGCAGTCCGATCCGTTCTCACATGTTCGAGTCCTGAATAGTACTTATCTGTTGATCTTTGACTTTAACGAATAAAAAATGAATTAGTTCAAAGGAAACCTGCCTAGCTTGGTTGCCTTGGCCACATGTAGCTGAACATTCAGACCATTCACTCCAATCAGACCATGAAGGACACGGGCGACTAGGGCACGAAGATTGGTCTTGAGCGGGACCCTCACATCCATTGTGGGTTACGCCACCATATATACACAATCTTAAAGGCACGGTTCATGATAAAAATGGTGACTGAGTACTTCTCCTAGGAATACTTAGTGACCCTCAAGGGTAATATCATCGAAAGCACCCCCTCGCGCCCAAGAACTGGACGGTTACGGCATAGTGGGAGTCCTGATTGAACGAAATTTTTTAAAACACAATTTCTGAGTTCGCTTTCACATACCCCATGGAAGTGTGCACCAACACCTCAAAACTCGCGCCAGTTGAAAGTTAAAACCAGGTTCCGAACTTGAATAAGCAGAGTTTGCTTCACACACTATCCACTAAGCCGCCTGCTGTACTGTTTCTCATTTGCGAAGGCTGGTTATAGATTAGCAGCATACAGGCAACCCCTATTGATTCATTCGCTCTTATTTCGTACGAAGAAATG